TTTTTTTCTATAGTAATAATATTCATGTAAACAAAAGACTTATACTTTTCCAATATGGCACTTTGATATATCAATCTGTCCTCTTGTCATTTTTTCTCTCATATGTGCGCGACTTACTGGCAACAAACATCGTATTGAAGGTGGGTCTGGTGAACAAAAACGTAGGCCCCACACGCACTCGAACCTCTGCCCTCCTGACTGCTAGACCGCGTGCTTAGCCGTTAAGCCACATCAGCCTACGGAGGAAGTGACTTGAATATTTCCTTACACCAATTAATCACTCATAATACTAATGAGTAATAGGACTTACACACTTCTGAGGTGCAAACCAATTCGTTACTTGGATGAATTGACGATATATTGCTTCAATATATCATGCATACCTAAATCAAACAAGAAAAGGGTATTTGACACAACTGTACTTGATCCGCATACTCTACACAATTTTTTTTGCTTCTTAACCGTATATTCTTTTCCGTTTTGTGGAGTATTCTGATGCACCCTTGGTTACGCACCTAGTTGTAAAACGCGGTCATCACAGGCTCAAGGTCATGCGTTTGATCGATTTTGTTAAAGAGTCCAACTTCTAGCAAGTTCACCCTCTTACATATATGCATTACAAAAGAGTATTTTTTTGTTTTCATGGTTTTTCGTGCACAAGATATCTACACTATGTCTATTCTCTTCCAGAATACCAATCCGTTCTGGAGACCAAGCACTTACATGGAACCGAACAATTATCAATTACATTTATGTATTTCCATTTTGTATCTTATTATTTTATGCAGGCAGTGGAGCAGTTCTTCAGGTTTGCTTGATTTTCACCATTACCTTTGAAGTAGATTCTTCTTTACTTTTTACTTGAGGGCGACTCAAGAGGCAGGTGAGTAAACACCTGATAGCCGGTCTGAGCATGGAAAAATCGTACCTCACCAACATGGTGTTGGGTAGCCCGCTCGCGGTACTTCCTCAGATATTCTTATTCCACATTCTCACACTCTTTCTCTTGAAAGCACGCAGTAAACCGTCAGCGATAGTTGTAGAATAGATCACATGCTACAAAATAAAATGACAAGCTAGTAAATGAGGAGACATCCATGGACTATCGTTGACAACGTTAGTCGTCACTGATTGTAAGTCAAATAGTGAGCGAGTTGATAATTTTCCCTTGGGATGAGAAATAGAACTAAGGTGTTTTCGATAGATAGGTTAATCGAACCGACGTTCCTACGGAAGTCGATTCTAGGGGGAAGCTAATGTAACAGCTCAGGTTGGTTGGTTAAGAGTTGACCCCAAACAACCAAGCATATGCCGAAACAGTATTGTTCAAGTATTCATTCACTTCCTTGTTTTGTATAAGCGTTATATTCCCTATCATCTTATATTGACTGTTGAGAGCCTTTGTTTGTCTGAGCAGATAATCCCACGCTCCACTGTGACTGCGCGAAGATCGAAATAAAGACCTATTCACTACTTGTCTGGTTTCTTCTATCAAAAGCACGAGGGTTACTTCAAGGCACGAAAAACACTCTTCTGATACCTTGCAGTGTTCAGCAGCGTCTGGTTGCCTTTGCTCACTATAAGAAACCATGTGATACAATACAGTAGTGTAAAACTGGTACAAATGGAAATTTTGATTCATCGTATACTTCGCCGCTCTTTTCATGTATTGATTATAGGGATTTTTACAGGACCGCTGGAAAAGATTAAAAGGATATTCAAGTCCATGTCGAATTACACTCGTCCATGAGCAAAAGGAAAATACACTTATATACATGCTTTTCGTAAACATTCAACGACGTGGTAAAGACTTTTGCAAAGTGATTTTTTGTTTGTTTCTTATCGAAATAATGAGAATAGACACATACAAGAGAGCATGTAGAATTATGGTCTACTATGATATTAGTACTTATAATAGACCTAATCCTAAAATTGTAGATTTGTCATGATATAACTGCCTAATCTATAAGATCTTACATGGAAGTCACACCATCGACTACACCAACTCACTGTATCGTATCAATTACCAATACATGATGTAGAACAAGGTTAGTCTAGAGAAGGAAGAATATATTTAATATGAATAGAAGATATGAGGTAACATTCAGAGGGACCACGCCTGCACGGCCGAGCCATGCCATCCTATGAACTCCCATTCATTCAATTAACTGTTCCCGCCTTTTCCATCGTTAGGTATTTCTCCGCGTTAAACATTGAATATCTATTTTCCGAGTAGTGTTGTGTTCAGCTTTGAAGATTGTGTGGTCATGGTCCAATGCCACTACAAGCATACTAACAAGAACAAAATTTTGGTTTTGATTTTTTAAATAAAAAACTAACTATATATATGAGCTTACTGAAAGTAACTTTCGTTTGCTGGACATAATAATGCAAAAAAATCGAGGCGAAACAAAATGTTATATAGTGTCACTCGAACAGTAATTATTTAAGTGTTCTGGAAACCCTGCTCTTCTTCCAAAACGCCTTATTTTTAGTTGGTTGTCGGATACCACCAAAATATCATCGTGATTGTTGATTTTCGGTTGAAGTATCGTAATTGTGAGACTCGTGTCTTTCGATTGTACCGAAGGAGAATCAACGTGAATATGGTTTCCTTCTAAATATGCTGCTTCGAGTCGATCAGTGCTGATGCCATCGTTAGTTCTGTTTTTGTCCATGATATAGTACTTAGGTTCACTCTGAAGGACTTTGAAAGATCCTTCGTATGCCATTTCGAGTGGTCATGGAAGTGAGACGCGACATACAAATACGTGTGCATTATATCGTAGGGCAGGTTGAACGAAAACAATAGTCGATTGCGGTTGAGTGGAAACAGGTTTCAAAGAACGCATTGAGTTTGTAAGCCTGCTCGTGCAAGAGTTAAGATTTATATCCCTTGAAGAAGATAAAGGATCCACAAATTCTCCCGGAAGTCTGAGTATCTTTCGGTAAACGACTCCAGCTGTAGTGAATCGAATGTCAGCTTTCACTGCATTGTGAATACCAAGTAAAATGAGTAGAAAAGGGTCGGTCCACTGTGAAACGTTTGCAGCTGTGAGTAAAGCTGTAAGCTACAGGTGAATCCGTTCTGTCAACCCGTTTGTTCGTGGCTGGTAGTGTGGAGCCGCATGATTCCTAATAGTGTAGTTAGATTTTCGTGCCTTAAGGTAACCCTCGTGCTTGGTTGTTTGGGGTCAACTCTTAACCAACCAACCTGAGCTGTTACATTAGCTTCCCCCTAGAATCGACTTCCGTAGGAACGTCGGTTCGATTAACCTATCTATCGAAAACACCTTAGTTCTATTTCTCATCCCAAGGGAAAATTATCAACTCGCTCACTATTTGACTTACAATCAGTGACGACTAACGTTGTCAACGATAGTCCATGGATGTCTCCTCATCTACTAGCTTGTCATTTTATTTTGTAGCATGTGATCTATTCTACAACTATCGCTGACGGTTTACTGCGTGCTTTCAAGAGAAAGAGTGTGAGAATGTGGAATAAGAATATCTGAGGAAGTACCGCGAGCGGGCTACCCAACACCATGTTGGTGAGGTACGATTTTTCCATGCTCAGACCGGCTATCAGGTGTTTACTCACCTGCCTCTTGAGTCGCCCTCAAGTAAAAAGTAAAGAAGAATCTACTTCAAAGGTAATGGTGAAAATCAAGCAAACCTGAAGAACTGCTCCACTGCCTGCATAAAATAATAAGATACAAAATGGAAATACATAAATGTAATTGATAATTGTTCGGTTCCATGTAAGTGCTTGGTCTCCAGAACGGATTGGTATTCTGGAAGAGAATAGACATAGTGTAGATATCTTGTGCACGAAAAACCATGAAAACAAAAAAATACTCTTTTGTAATGCATATATGTAAGAGGGTGAACTTGCTAGAAGTTGGACTCTTTAACAAAATCGATCAAACGCATGACCTTGAGCCTGTGATGACCGCGTTTTACAACTAGGTGCGTAACCAAGGGTGCATCAGAATACTCCACAAAACGGAAAAGAATATACGGTTAAGAAGCAAAAAAAATTGTGTAGAGTATGCGGATCAAGTACAGTTGTGTCAAATACCCTTTTCTTGTTTGATTTAGGTATGCATGATATATTGAAGCAATATATCGTCAATTCATCCAAGTAACGAATTGGTTTGCACCTCAGAAGTGTGTAAGTCCTATTACTCATTAGTATTATGAGTGATTAATTGGTGTAAGGAAATATTCAAGTCACTTCCTCCGTAGGCTGATGTGGCTTAACGGCTAAGCACGCGGTCTAGCAGTCAGGAGGGCAGAGGTTCGAGTGCGTGTGGGGCCTACGTTTTTGTTCACCAGACCCACCTTCAATACGATGTTTGTTGCCAGTAAGTCGCGCACATATGAGAGAAAAAATGACAAGAGGACAGATTGATATATCAAAGTGCCATATTGGAAAAGTATAAGTCTTTTGTTTACATGAATATTATTACTATAGAAAAAAAAACTACAAGTGTGGTAGATTTCCATTTTACGTTATATTTAAAACAAAGAATATATATATATAAGTTATTGACATAACATGTTTTTTTATAACGCTAGTGTTAAGTTCCAGGATTTTGTATGGACCACTAATAATAATTGGTTTAACGTTAGCATAGCTGTGATATTCATATTAGTTCAATGTTGTGATTACTTAACAGTTCCCTTATAAGTTGTGCTTAAAATTAGGTATGTGGAATCAATGCGGCTAACATAGTAACCTTACAGTAACGCACTGTACTATATCTTCACGGTTATTGATTCTTAAATGTCAGAAATTTAAAAAAATCTGAATATTGCCAATAAAGATGGGTTATATGATCACACTGAAAAGCATGCTGCAGGGAAACTGGTTAAGTCATTACGTAAGTTTTCTAAACATGAAAAAAAATGATGAGAACTTTAATAAGTACTTGACCATGGTTTAATCCAAAATGTTTTGTCTAGAAAACTACTTATTAATAGTAGTATTAATCGTGTCAAGCTACTAAACATATCCTCAACCGAAAACTTTTAGAAGTAGTTCATATGGTATATATGTATAGCCAGTCTGCGTGAAAAATGTATATAAATATATAAGAAGTACAGCCAACATAGTTAATTAACCAGAAAAAGAAATTATAAAACTCGCCTGGGTTGCTTTTTGAATTCGTTGTATTTGCCAGTGTTAGTTGTATGAGTTTGATTAAAATCCGCAGCCATCGTTTCGGAATACCTAGCTTATGTGTCCAGTATTTTAAAAAAAAAATTTAACATAACACGTATATATCAAAGGTAAAAGGTCTGGGGAGTTGTCGGTGAGGCGGAATGAGGAAAAAAATTATTTCTAAGTAGATGCAGGGTGTGATTAGCTGCGTGGTTAGATTTTATCCTGCAGCCAAAACTGTCAACATGATTGACTGACTAATTGGATGTGCCCAGCGAACCGTTTTAGTCATTTGTAAAGATTTATTATTTTTACATTTCGATTCCGTAATGGATTTGTCAGTTAAACGATCTAACAACACGTATGGTGGTTCATGATCTAGATAAGCCGGCTTTAGCCTATCAATACTTACTGTGTCGATGTTTCCATGTTTTTCTATCACGAAATATTTAGATTTTCTTGAGACGACTTTGAAAGGACCTTCAAATGGAGGGCTAAGTGATGCTTTTATTTTGTCACATCTTATCCAGACGTGCGTGCAATTGCTTAGGTCTTTAGGTACATATACGGCACGCGATTGTTCGCGAGTATTAATTGGCTTAAGTTTGGACATATGGTCCCGTAGTTGATCTACGTAGTTTCCTAAATTAAGTTTTTGACTGTTAGTATTGGGGTTAATAAATTCACCTGGTAGTCTCAGAGTTGTTCCGAAAACCAGTTCCGCAGCTGAACATTGTGCGTCAGTTTTGACAGATGTTCGTATTCCCAACATAACTAATGGTAGGAATTCTGTCCACTGATTGGGGTTTGAGTGAGATATAAGGGCGGTTTTTAGCTGACGGTGAAAACGTTCTACCATCCCATTAGCCTGAGGATGATATGCAGTGCAGCGTATCCTATTGGAGCCTAGAAGTTTAGCCAAGTTATTAAATAGTTCGGATTCGAATTGCGCTCCTCTATCCGTCGTTATTGTTATAGGTGTACCAAAAATGGTTACCCAGTTCTGCATGAAAACTTTGGCTACTGTTTCCGCTGTGATGTCCGCTATCGGGATGGCTATAGGGAATCTGGTAAATCGATCTATGCATGTAAAAAGATAATTAAAACCGTTTGAACGTGGTAAAGGACCTACTAAGTCGATATGCACATGGGCAAAACGTGCATCTGGTTGCGAGAAAACACCTATGGGTGAATTTGTGTGACGATTAATCTTTGATTGTTGACATGCTGAACACTCTCTAACCCATTTGTGTACATCCTTCTGTAAATTCGGCCATATATATCTGGCATTGATTAGTTTTGTTGAAGCTTTCGCGCCAGGATGAGACAAAGAATGAAAGTTATTATATATCAACTTTCGCATATTTTTGGGGACGAAAGGTCGCGGCATTGCCTTGGTCGTGTCACAATAAATTAGAATACCATCGATAGGTGATGGGAATTGTTTTAAATTAAGACTTGAATTGTTTGTTTTAAGTAGGTTTTGCAATTCTAGGTCCTGCTCTTGTTCGTGTCTTAACGTCTCGAAGTTTACTGTAGACTGCTGTAGCACGTTCATTTCTAGTCTGGATAAAGCATCTGCCGCCTGATTGTCCTGACCTTTGACATGTCGGATATCGCTTGTGAACTGTGATATATAGTCAAGGTGTCGGACTTCTCGAGGTGAGTATTTATCGGCTCTCGCTTTTAATGCATTCGTCGGAGGTTTGTGATCCGTAAAGACTATAAATTCCCTACCTTCTAACATGTGTCGGAAGTGTTTAATGGTCAGGTAGATTGCAAGAAGTTCTCGCCCGAAGGTAGAATACCTTGTTTCGGCTGGAGCGAGTCTTTTCGAGAAGAAAGCAATTGATTTCCAGGCGTTTTTAACCAGTTGGTTAAGGGTACCGCCTACTGCTTTATCTGAAGCATCCACCATCAAAGCAAGTGGGGAAAGAGAATTCGGATATATCAACGTAGTTGCTTGAGCCAGTTTATCTTTTAGCTGTTTAATAGCTTCGATGGCGTCAGAAGACAGTTTGAATTCTTTTGGTTTTCCTTTAAGTGAATCTGTCAAAGGTTGCATTAATTGTGCACAACCTGGTATGAATCTGCGATAAAAGTTAATTAGACCTAGAAAACTTCTCAGTTGTGTTAGAGAACTAGGTACGGGGTATTGTTTGATGGTATCCACTTCTTTTTTTATAAGTTTAATCCCTTCTGGGCTTATTGTGTGACCGAGAAATTCTAAAGTTTGAACACCGAAAACACACTTACTTTGATGTATGTTTATTCCATGTTCATCCAGTCTTTTCAACACTGCTTGTACATGCTGTTCGTGTAATTGCAAATCGGGGCTGGCAATTAACAAGTCGTCTATATACCCCTGCGCAAATGGCATATCTCGAAGTAGGTTATCTATGAATCTTTGAAATGTCTGTGCCGCATTTCTCAGGCCGAATGGCATGCGTACAAATTCGAATAAGCCAAAGGGTGTAGTAATAGCTGTCTTGGGAATATCTTCATCAGCCACCGGGATATTGTGATATGCCCTGACTAAGTCAATTTTAGTGAATATGTTCATACCCTGTAAACCGTTTGTGAAATCTTGGATATGAGGTATTGGGTACCTATCTGGTACGGTTTGACGGTTTAGGGCTCTGTAATCCCCGCACGGTCGCCAGTCACCTTCATTCTTCTTTGGGACCATATGCAAAGGGGATGCCCATTGACTATCAGAGGGACGGATGATACCCAGTTGTAGCATATAATCAAACTCGGCTCTAGCGATTTTGAGCTTATCTGGTGCTAGTCTCCTGGGTTTTGCAAACACCGGTGCACCTTCGGTTTTGATAGTGTGACTCACTTTTAGTTTGTCTTTAGAAGGCTGTGGGTTTGGTTTAGTTAAGTTTGGAAATTCCGCGAGTATATCTTGAAATTTCGCTGTTGTTACTGGGGGAGTTTGAATCAAGTTAAGAGAGCTAATGTGACTTTCTTTGCCTTTTGTGTAATACGAAGTTTCTTTTAGTGTTAATCGCCGTTTCTTGGTGTCAACTAGAAATTCGTATCTCTCTAGAAAGTCCATCCCCAGTATTGCCAGATCTAAGTCGGCTACCGTGAAAACCCAAGGGAATTGCCTCCTGAACCCTAAATCTAGGGTTAAAGTTTTCTGCCCAAATGTCGCAATTTTAGTTTTATTTGCAGCTTGAAGTGTAATTGATGATGTTTCTCGACTAATCTCAGTTTTATTTCGAGGGATGATGCTAAGAGCAGCGCCAGTATCCACCAAGAAATTCAAGCCCGAGTTTCTGTCTCTAACATAAAACAAGCGACTGTTTAGGCGCCCCTCCTCAGTCGTCGCGACCTGGGGAGGGGTTACTCGTTTCCCGCTGTCTTAGAATTATGCTTAGGCCAGGCGCACGGTTGCACGCATTTGGTTGAGTTGACACCAAACTTCCAGTGGTACCAACAAAACTGCCCAGATTGTCTGGACATTTGTGACCTGTTTTGTGACTTGGATCGTGGTCGTTGTGGTGACCTGCTCCTGTTTCTATGACCCATTTGCATTCTGGTGACAGCCTCAGTGAGACTCTTAACACTCGCAATGAGTCCTTCTATTACGGGGTCTTTTGCTGATTCTACTTTTTGTGTGTGATTTATTGTGCCTGATCCGGTTGGAGGACCTCTTTCCATTATTCTGTCGGCTATACGCGCTAAATGAGATAATGAGGTTTCAGGATCCTGTGCATCCAAACAGTGTTGGACGTAGCATGGGAGAGCTTGTATCCATCCTTGTTTTAGGACTCCTTCACCCACTGTGTTATCACCCACTAAGACTTGGAGGTGACGTAAAAACTGTGACGGCGACCGATCACCTAGTGTTTCACCTTGAAAAAGTCTTTGGATTCTTTGACTATCTGATAATGATAAACGGTTCATTATCTCTCGTCTTAAGATGGTGTATGGTTGTGGTGATGGTGGACTTAAAATCAAGTCACGGACTTCTTTGGCGACTGAAGGAGGAAGGATAGAACACAAGTCTCTATAGCGAATCCCTTCGGATTTGATATTGTGTCTCGTGAAATAATGCTCTAGTTGAGCAAACCACAACTCAGGATCACTACGATCAAAATCTGGAAGTCGGGATTTCGTAGTCATAACAGTGTCTATCTCCACTGGTGACAAATTATCCAGATTATGGGTTTCTATTGAGTCTGACATGAGGTATGTGACAAATATAGCAATAAAGTTAGCACAAAAAGTGGTTACTATAACACGAATAACTTAAGATAATACGGAATAAACTAGTTATATACTCAAATTAGTTTACGGATAATCAGGTCTACTTTTACGATTAAGTAAAAAAAATGTTAATAACAGAAATGAGGTTAAATTTGTGTTCAAAAAGGGCTCACCAATTTCGTGCCTTGAAGTAACCCTCGTGCTATTGATAAAAGAAACCAGACAAGTAGTGAATAGGTCTTTATTTCGATCTAAGCGCGGTGACAGTGGAGCATGGGATTATCTGTTCAGACAAACAAAGGCTCTCAACAGTCAATATAAGATGATAGGGAATATAACGCTTATACAAAACAAGGAAGTGAATGAATACTTGAACAATACTGTTTCGGCATATGCTTGGTTGTTTGGGGTCAACTCTTAACCAACCAACCTGAGCTGTTACAAGATAACGGAAATGTCTAGATTGGGACCGAAGTTCACGGTTTGTAGTGATAGTGGAAGGGCTGCTGGTTTTCCATCCATGGCTCGATAAAGGTGGCGGAAACTGCTTCAGCAGTAATGTCCTTGATGAGTACTGCTCCTGACCACCGAGTGGAATGTTCTACTCAAGTTAAAAGATAAGAGTATTCATTTGAATCTGCTAAGGGTCTTACCAAATCCAGATGTACATGGTCAAAACAAGCATTGGAAGTTTTGAATGAGCGTAAGGGACATTTGTTGTGTCTGATTACCTTAGATTTCTAACAACTTACACAGGAGCGTGCACACTCCCTCAAGTCTTTCTTCATAAGGGGCCAGAAAATTGTTATGCTACCGGCTTGATGGTTGCACGAACACCTGGATGAGAAAGTTTGTTCAACGTATTGAAGACGTTGCGTCGATAATGTTTCGGCACGATTAAACGATTCCTACCTGTGGACGAGTCACGTAGCGAAGTGTTCTTACCCGTTCCCGTCTATTTAATATGTAGTTTCAGGGTGGTCGAAGATAACTCGTGCTGAAGACCAGAGTTTTCTTTTTGACACTGAGCAAGTTTAAAAACGTCGATTCCTTGGAAACTGTTTAAGAAAGTTATACAAGATGAAGCATCTGCAACTACGTTGTTTGTCCCAGAAATATGTTATATAACTGAAGTAAACTGCGAAATGTAGTCCACTTGTCGAGACTATCGAGGGGAGTACGTGTTTGAAGATGAGCTTAGAGAGAAGGTAAGAGGTTGGCGATCGGTGAAAATTGTAAATCCTCAGCCTTCTGTGGAGTGTTGAAGGTGCAGTGCAGCACAGTATATGGCTAGGTGTTCTCTACCGAAAGTGCTACACCTTAATCCAGTACCTAGAGACCGTCTTAAGAAAGATGCTAAAGATTGCCAGATGTGATTAATCCATCGCTGTAAGACGCCTCTAATTGCCGTGCTGGATGCACCTACTGCGATACCAATGGATGCTTGGGTGTCCTGGTGTGCGAGTGATGTTGCTTTGGAGATTAGTTTCTTAACTGTGGAGAATGCTTTCTTTGCCATATCGTCCAAATTGATGGACCTGGCAAATCCACAAAGCCGAGCTGCGAAAGATCTCACAAGAGGTGTGCTAATCGGTACGAAACGTCGATAAAAACTTACTAGGCCGTTAAGCGTCCGGAGTTGCTTGATTGTTGTTGGTTCTGGGTAATCCAGAACGGCCGCTATTGTGCTTCTTGTAGGTTGGATACCTTGAGCGTCAGTAGCATGTCCGAGGAAATCTAGGGAGTTGGTACCGACCTGACATTCATGGACCTTTAAAGAACTGTCATGTTTTTACAGTCGTTGGAAGATAAGATCCAGATGCTGGAGATGAGATTCTCTGACCGGACTTGCAATCAAGCAGTCGTCAACATAAACATGTACGCCGTTGAGACCTCGAAAAACGTCGTCAATGAATGTCTGAAAAGTTTGTTCAGTGCTTCTCAAGCCGAAAACATGTACGAAAATTCGTAGAGTACGAAAGGTGTGATGATAGAGGTTTTAGGAATGTCGTCAGTAGTCATGGGAATTTGGTTATGTGTTTTAATTGAGGCGATGTTCAAAAAAACAGTCGAACCTTTTAAGGTATCTGTCAAATTGTG